GTCACGGTTGTTGGAAGGTGGAGCCCCAGCATCTTAGCCACTTGGTGGTGATCCTGCATGTAACTGGGCAGGCCAGTAAGTGGCTGAGATTCATCGAATCTGTTCTCAGTAGTGCTCCCAGAACACTCTAGTGTCCCTGAAGTGTTCCAGCTTCTCAGTGAGTTCAAATGCCATCAACTGGGTCTGCCATCAAAATCTGTTCCCAGTTATCAGGAATGGTGATGGGTCCCAAGGTTGTCTTTGCTGTGTTCATCCTTCCTGAGAGAAGGCCTGGCTGTGGGATCCTGTTAGCTCTTGTTGAATGCCTGCTCTCTAGATGTCAGTGTGAGGTTTGCCTCTTGCAGCACAGCCTGCCTGTGGCAACATATCTCTTCATGCCATTGGGTGTGAGCAGGACACATGCAATTGCTTGGCCATCTCATCTGTCCTACTTTGATGTCTTCACACAGGGAGTTTGGCAGTGTTCTTTGTGTTTAACTGAGGAGTCATCTGGAGTGTTTAGCAGAATTCCCTCTGGGCCATACTCTTATGCTTCTGCATATCTCTAGTTGTTTGTCTGGCGGCTTTCTCTTTGTGGAGGCTAATTCAGACCAGAGCCCCTGGGTGTGGGGCAGACCACCTTACCTTCCTTATACTCTACCTATGGTCTTGCTTCCCTGATGAGAGCCTCAGACAACCTATCTACTTTAGCTGGTCAACTCTTCTCTGCTCACCTGCATCCTGTTCTGAGCTTGGGACAAAGAGAGTCCCTGAGGGCAGAGGCTGAGCCACCCTCTTATGTTTACAGTGGAAACCTTTGGTGACCTGGCCTTCAGTGACATCTTTCTCCACCTGCTCACTGGTAGCCTGGCATTGCTGGCTGATGAATTTGCCCTGGAGGATTTCTGCAGCAGCCTCTTTGATGGCTTCTTCCTTACTGCCTCTCCCAGGTGGGATACACATTTCCTGCCAGTTCTTGTGTTTGACAGCTTAGGAGGGGAGTTGAGGCTCCATCCTGCTAAAGAACCACAGGTGGGTCTTTGAGCACTGGGACCTGTGCTAGACTGAAGAATTCCTGGGTGTGGTTTGTGTATGACCCAGGGGTCAGTTCTGATCCACTTCTAGGTGGAGGGGTAAAAGCTGAAGGCACATGGGGGTGCTGTGCCTAGGAGTGAAGCAGGTGTGATGGCATCTCCAGCTCCACTGATGTCTTCCAGGAAGGAAAATGTCCACCGTCATGTGCTGAGGCTTCTCCTCCACTTGCATGCAAGAGTGGCCCCTTCCAAGCTGGAGGCATTGCAGAAGGCTCTGGAACCCACAGGCCAGGTGGGTCTCATCAGTTCCTGCTTAGAGGGTGGTGTTCTAGGAGTGTGCTTGGCCAGTCCAGCCTGTGGCACGATGCCCTTGGTGCTTACTTTGATTGAGTTCTTCATGATTGGTCTTGCCTGTGGCTTCACTCCTCCATGTAGGCTCAGACAGACCACCTGCCCCATGGCATGCCTATGTCTGGTTTTCCCACAGAGCGGGGAGGCTGTGAAGGAGCTCTACTCCCAGCTTGGTGAGAAGTTGGAGCAGTTAGACCATCGGAAGCCCAGTCCTACCCAAGCTGCCGAGACACCAGCACTGGAACTGCCTCTTCCCAGTGTGCCTGCTCCAGCCACACTGTGAGGCTCTGGGGAACTGTTTGACAGTAGTACCCCTATGGAAGGGTACTCTAGTTGGCTAGGGTAGTAGGCTGAGCTGAGAGGGCTGTTCCTTGGCTAGGTTCTCCCTCTGAGTTGCTGTCAGGAGCTGGTCTACTTGGGCATCAAAGGGCCCATGATGGCATGGTGGGACTTGGCCCCTGCTTGACCCTGGCAGAGGTGGATGGTGGTTGGGGTATAGGAAAAGCAGTGGGCAGAGGCCTGACTGACATGATATTCAATATGCACAAAGTCCAAGGGGAAAGGCATGCTGGGTTCACCAAAGTAGATTTGCTGGGCCTGATATGCCAAGCACAGGAGTGGTACCTTCCACAGAAGCCAGGTGGAAAGTCTGCAGCAGGCCTGAGCCTGCTCATGTCAATGCATAGCCCATGCTGACTGAGATCTGTAAGCAGAGCTCTGCCTCCTACAGCTCCCTGCCTCAGTTTACCTTTGCAATAGAAAGCAAATCCTTCTCCAGCTAGGTGTTTTAGCCTTTGAGTAGAGGAGTTTGGATGTACACATTGAAGTTTCCACTTATGTGAATAAAGCACATTTTGATAAGTCCGTTGTAAGGAGTCTTTGTTTGTTCTGGAACTGGGTTTAGAGGTGAATGCAAAGAATGTTCTTTTTTCTTCTTGCTATTTCTTTCTTTCTCTTTTTTAATGTTAGGTCTCACTACATGTCTCTGACTGGCCTGAAACTCACTGTGTAGACTAGGCTGGCCTCGAACTTGGAGAGATCTTGCCTTTGCCTCCCACATGCTGGGACTAGTGTGTGCCATCACATCTGGATGTAACGTTCTTCTGGAGAGTCAGTGCTTTAGCTTCTGTGCCTGACAACTCTGTTCTGAGTAATCTGGTGTAGGGCCCAGCAGGAAGACTTCAGAGACCTCTCAGAGTGTCTTGATCTCTGTGTGCAGCCTTTTACTCCTTTCAAAATGAGAGCTAGGAAGCCCTAGGAGGACCAAGGACAAGCCCTAGGTCAGAGTGATTCTCAACATCAAATTTATAGCTCTGTGGCAGCTTAGTCATCCCTAGGTAGCTAGGGAAAGTCCAGCTGGGCACTGGGCATTCCTGTACCTTCAATTCAGGAACCACCAGAATCGCTAAGCAGGGAAGCTATCTGAGGCCTAATGAGAGCTCTCTTGCTGTGATGGGATCAGGCAGGTGTGGGTGTTTGCAGGACACCCCGGTCTGTGCTTAGCTTTTCCCACTTGTGAATGAATGGCATGTACCCTGGCTGAACTGGCTGTTTGTTACCAGGTGGGGAGGGGCACACTGATGAATATCCCTGAAGCTGAGTGAAGGGGAAGGGGCTGTTCAGCTTTCTGTTGTAAGTAACACTATAGGCTAGAGTCATAAAGAACGTGTGTTTATATTGGCTCAAGGACCTAGTCCAAAGTTCAGGATAAATTTGATGATAGCCATCTTTCCAACAGAGGCTTGAAGCATAGAGTACTTCAGTGATGGGGGGAGGGAGTGGAGAGAGAGAGAGAGAGAGAGAGAGAGAGAGAGAGAGAGAGAGAGAGAGAGAGAGAATATGAATGAGAATATGTATGGGTTCTGTTTTCTCTCTTTAAAGCCATGGGACTGATAGGGTGATATTCCCACAACCCTGTTTGATCATAACCACCAATCTTGAAGGCACAGCATAGTAGATTGAATTTTCAGCCTCTACCACCCTTTAGGTGGCTGGAGGAGGCTTCAACACACGACACCCCAACCAGTGGGATCACTGTGGGACCACAGGAACGCTGCTAAATTTCCAGCTGTGTAGAGGTCACAGGTCAAAAACACAGGCCTTCAGTTGGGGGAAGTGCTGCTGGATTCTCCTGTTTATTTTCTGTGACAGGGTCTCTGTAACTTGGTGTGTAAACCAGGCTGTCCTCAGTCACAGATCCACCACCTACTTGTCTGCCTCCTATCAGGCCTGCCTTGCTTGATTATTTTAAAAGTGGAAGAGACATGTCTGTAGGATGATGGTAATGACCCATTAGCAAGAAGCTTATGACACATGCCGGGCGGTGGTGGCTCACGCCTTTTATCCCAGCACTTGGGAGGCAGAGGCAGGCAGATTTCTGAGTTCGAGGCCAGCCTGGTCTACAGAGTGAGTGCCAGGACAGCCAGAGCTACACAGAGAAACCCTGTCTCGAAAAACCAAAAACGAAGAAGAGGAAGAGGAAGAGGAAGAGGAAGAGGAAGAGGAAGAAGAAGAAGAAGAAGAAGAAGAAGAAGAAGAAGAAGAAGAAGAAAAAGCAGCAGCAGCTTATGACACTGGGATTTGTAGGATGTCAGACCCAGGCAGCTGCTCCTTACACAGCAGACATTTCAGGAAGGGGAGGACTGTAAGGTCCAAACACTAAGGCTCTTGGGGCTGTGTTCATGTGCTTAGGATGGTGACTGGGCCGAGGACAGAGGCTCTAAGTGGACTGGATGCTGGGCAGGGTCACTGGGCAGAGGGAAGGCTCATAGAGGCTGAGGGCTGGGAGAGACAACAGACCTGTGTGGCTGGATTCTGCTAGTGTGGGCCAAGTGTGCCTGCAAGGAGCTGTGGAAGGAAAGGGTGTGATGGGTGAAGGGTCAGGTTTGGGGCTGGCGAGGTTGGATTCTACAATAGGGTTGGACAAGGGATCGGGCACTGAGGCTTGTGAATCTTCTGTCTATAAAAGCCTTATCCTTGTAAAGAGTAACTCTGGGACTTGCACTCCCTGAATGGCCCCTTCCTGCATACATGGGCATGGAGGTGGGAAAGGCTATAAGCAAACAGGTTGCCATGAAAAGTCTAAACCTTTTCTGTCTCCCAGTTCTCAGCACACGAACATTTCTAAATCTGCTCCTCCCACTCCACAAGGACCCTATCTATCCCTAGCTCTAGAACTTGTTTCTTGGGTCCTGACCTATGAAATGTCGAGCTGAATGTGCAAAGAGGCGGGCTGGGGAGTGGGGATGGGAGTTAGAGTAGAGGAAGGACGGGAAACAGAGAAGGAAAGAAAGGGATTAGCGGCACCCAGCTGAGCAAATGACCTGCTCAGCTGAGCGCCTCAGTAGGGTGTTTAGGGTCCCTTCCTCAGTTTTTCTAGGTCAGGGAAAGTAGTATCCTGGTAGAGGCGATGTCAGTAGAGGGCAGACTGAGCTTTCAGGAGTCCTGGGAACCTACGGGAAGAGCTGCTGGACTGCCCCTCCTCCTCTGTGCCCTGGATAGGGGTTCTGGGCCAGTCAGCCAGACCTTCCCCCACTGGTGGATCTGTACAGCCCAAGCTCCGCCTGCCAGCACCCCTGACTCACTTCCTTTGTATCTAAGCGGAAACCTCCCCAGAGCTTCCTCTGCTCCTGTCCCTCAGGACCTGCAGGGTTCCTACCCCTTCAATCCTAAGTGGGGCCAGCCAGACCTTGGCCCACCCACCTCACCCTTTGGGTAGAAGACTAGCATTTCCTGCTTCCTGAGTTGCTGGCTACTGGCCTCGGAAGGGAGTGGCTGAGCTGGGGCGTCTGAGCAGCCGCAGGTAGGGAGTGATACGGAGAGGTCCAGGCCAGCCTCCTCAAAGTCAAGGCTCTACGCTGTCCCTGGCTCTTTTTGTTTATTTTTCTGCTCTTGTGTTCTCTGGAAGAATGCTGAGGAACTCCAGATTTGGGCTTGGATGGGGGGCTAAGGGTGGAGTGGGTTGAAAGGCCTAGGTTGTGACTAGGGACAGTGCTAAAGTCCATTCTCAAAAAACATGAAAGTTTGCACACTCCTTCCACCAGCTGTCCTAAGTATGGGCAGAGTCTCAACTCTTAGGGGTGTTCTCTGGGACCTGTGACCTGTAAGGTCTTTGGCAGTCTGATAGGTGCTGAGTGTGTGTGTGCAGGGTCCAATTTGACCATTCTGTACCCCTAATCGGTGACAGTATAACAACGAACCTCCTGTTTATTCCTCCAAGAGAGAAGTCAACAGTCTGATAAATTATACACCTCACCCCACCCCCACACTTCCTCAAGGCCTAGGCCTTTTCTGAGAGGACCCAAGAGATTTGCATGCGTTGGGGCCCTCCTGCTGAGAGCTGGGCTTCCTGGTTAGTGGAGCTAGGCGAGGTGGGGCCAGTATTTGGCTGTAAAACGCCTTAAGGAACCCAGAGAGTAAGATCGGGGACTCAGGAAGTCTTCTCATTTTCCTGTTGCAGGGAGGGGAACTGCATGCCCAGCACAGGTCCTGAGCCATGGACCGCAGCCATGCTAGCCTAGAGTCCCAGGCCAAGAGACCAGGTGTGATCGCGCCAGTGCGCGCCGTGCTCCGTCTGCGCCGCCGAGTCTGCGTCCTGCGCAAGAGGCGCTTCTTACAGCCAGGCACTGAGCCGGACGCTGGGACTGAGAAACTCGGGCCCAGCGGCAGCTTGGGGACTCTGCGTGCCGACCTAGACCAACCTAAATTCTTCACCTTCGACAGCCTGACAGAGCTATCTTCTAGGACACCCCGCAAGAGGCGCAGGCGTAGTCGGGTGGTGCTCTACCCGGAAACCTCACGGAAGTGCCGACCTCGCACAGAGCAGCGGCAGAGTCGTGCACAGCGTTGCCTGCTACTTCTTGTAGCCATTGTGGGGTTCCAAGTTCTCAACGCCATTGAGAATCTGGACGATAATGCACAACGTTACGACCTCGACGGGCTAGAGAAGGTGCTGCAGCGTTCTGTGTTCGGCCAGCCAGCTGCTGTGGGCCGCATCATGGCCCTGCTGCGAGATTATCTGGCTACACATGTGCACAGTCATCCCTTGCTCCTGGCACTGCACGGGCCCAGTGGTGTAGGCAAGAGTCACGTAGGGCGCCTGCTGGCACACCACTTTCGCGCAGTGCTGGAGGACGGTGCTTTGGTTCTGCAGTACCATGCAAGACATCACTGTCCGGAGCCACGTCCGGTTCAGGACTGTCGGAAGGAACTGGCACAGCGTGTGGCTGACGTGGTGGCACAGGCTGAGGCTGAGGAGAAGACTCCTCTCTTGGTCCTGGACGAGGCTGACCTCTTGCCACCTGCGCTGCTGGATGAGCTGCACGACTTCCTGCAGCCACAGCGCTCGCACCATTTCCACAATGCTATCTATGTACTCCTAAGTGGCGCGGGGGGTATAGAGATCACACACTTTGTGCTGCAGAATGCTTCACGGATGTTGCCCCCACCCCGCCACAGTGCAGGCAGTACTCAGACTGAGGAATCACCAGCTGAGGAGTTACACACCAGTCTTCGAGAGCTCCTGGCCAGAGAACACCCTCTGTGGAACACTGCAGCCATCGTGCCCTTCCTGCTACTGGACAAACCAGATGTGGTCAACTGTTTCAGAGAGGAGATGGCAGGGGAGGGATTTTTTCCTGAGCAGGCACTGGCAGAGCATCTGGCAGAGCAGCTCAGCTATTACCATGTTGCTGGACATGAATTTGCCATCACTGGCTGCAAACAGGTGGTAGCTAAGGTCAATCTCTTGCAGCCCAAGCCTGCACATGCTGGACATTAGCCTGTGGGCCCAGGCATTTGAACTGTTGAAGAAAACAGGAAGAATGTCCGGTGATTTGTGGCACCCAAGCTGGTTCACCCCAGGAGCTAGGGAGGCTGAGCTCCACTTCCTCTTCACCCCGAGCCTTGAGATTCCCTACGGTCACCAAGAAAGCAGCTACCTTCCTGTATGGAGTCTTCCCCACACCCCCAGCTCCCACTATGTCCCAGAAACATGTGATAGGGCCTCCCATAACTCTAGGGGGTAGCCAGTGTGCACTTACGTGAGATTGTCTCAGAGGGTGTGAGGCTGTGGTAGGTAGGATTCTGGTCCTCTGGAACATGTAGCAGCCTCCATGATGCTCACAAAATCCCATCCCTTGAATACCTCCTTAGCTTAGAGGCCACAAGGTGGGGAATGCTTCTCAGGCCTGCCTCAGAAGGCAGTGGAGTGGTTAGATGCCTACAAACCAATGAGTAGATCCTGTGGAATTCTTCCAGTGCTTTGGAGTATGGACCTAAGGAGAGACCTCTTGAGACTGGCTGCCTGTTTGCCCCAGAGATAGATATACAGAGTGGCTTTGGAGTCAGCTACAAGATTCAGGGTCCTGCTCACCAGAAGAGGTTAGAGAGGAGGAGGTGATGTGTCTCCACCCACCCTAGGGAGACTTCCTGTGAAACCACCAAGCTCAGGATTCCCAAGAAAGTCTGTCCTGCTGAGGAACTCACCCCTTGTAGTAGCCCCTTCCAACCCCCACCTCTGGAGTAACAGCAGTTGAGTCTACAGCAAATAGTGGCAGCAGTGGCAGTGAACCGTGCCTTGAGACTGGCTGGCTTTCTGTGGGAAGCCGGAAGCATGAGGCCAGTGGGGTGGGGTCGGGTGGGCAGGTGCCAAGGCCTCTGCCTGCCTGTACTGTGCTGGACTTGAAGACCTCTTTTCCCCTGACAGTGTAACTGTCTGGTTACCACAGTTACATGTGGGTAAGGTTCCTTGTAGCCTTTGGTGTCCTGGGTTCAGCCTCTGTTTCTGTTTGTGTGGAATTTGCTAAGCAGGGGGCATTTTAGTACTCTGGCCATGTCTGTGTTGCCACCTAGTGGCTGCTCCCAGACTTTGCCTGTGAATGTCATTCTGGGTTAGAAAGTGGCACATCCAAAAGTGGGACTTGAGGGCACACAGCAAGTGGCGACACTAGAAGAGATTAGAAAGGAGGAGGAGCCTCTCAATGGGGGTTATATGTTCTCTGCCACACTGGGGGAGGCCTGCTGCAAAACCACTCAGGCTCAGGTTTCCCCAGAGAGCTCACTAGCAGGCTACCATGCAGGTCCTGTAGGTTTGTCTTACGTGCGCCTTGCGTGGTCTGAGGATCTGTGTGTGGGTACTGTTCAGTTCTTGCAGGATGATGCCAAGAAGGTCCCCAGGATTGTCACCTGAAAACCTACCTGGAAGTGTCTCCCACCAAGTGTTGCTTGTAGCCGTTCATTTAACGTCTACAGGGCATTGATTTAGTGAGGATCCAAACCCATGAAGCGTTTTTATTTATTTATAAAACGTGTACTTCTAAAATAATTTCATGGAGACTAGTTTCTGGTCTAAGGAGGCCTATGCACTCAGCGCTGAGTAGGCTGCATCATGCCCAAAAATAAACCGCAGCTCAAATCTACCCATCTACCGTCTTCTTTTTCTCTTCTGTTTGTCTATGAATTGAGAAAGGGATACTGAAACCTGTCAGTGGTAAACTCACCAATGTTTCTTGCTAAGCATCTATTTAATAATTCCTGGTTTTGGAGATGGGCGTAGTGGTGTGCACCTTTAGTCCCAACACTCAGAGGCAGAGGCAGGCAGATCTCTGAGTTCACGGCCAGCCTGGTCTACAGATCAAGTTCCAGGACAGCTAGGGCTACAAAGGAAAACAAAGGGGTCTTAAAACCCCTGAATCATCCCCCTAAAATGATAATTCATGTTTTCAGACAGCATTTTACATTTGTAGCCCAGGCTCACCTTGAACTTTTGACTTTCTTTCTTTCTTTCTTTCTTTCTTTCTTTCTTTCTTTCTTTCTTTCTTTTTTTTTGTCAAGACATGGTTTCTCTGTGTATAGTCTTGGCTGTCCTGAAACTCACTTTGTAGACCAGGCTGTCCTGGAACTCAGAAATCTGCCTGCCTCTGCGTCCCAAGTGCTGGGATTAAAGGCGTGCACCACCACTGCCCGGCTTCAAGCCTCTTAAATGCTAGAATTATACTTGTGTGCCATCATGCTGGCCAAATGGATTTTGTAGGTTTTGATATTTTGATACCTCAGCCAGCAGAACTGAGCAGGAAGTCGACAAATAACTATTATGTCTTTATTCTTTTGATACAGACTTGCTATGAGATCCTAGGTGACCCAGAACTCAATACTCTGTTTTCTCTTTTTGTCTTGTTTTTTGAGACAGGATCCTGCTATATAGCCCAGGCTTGCCTTGAATTCCTTGTAGCCTAGACTGGCTTCAGACTCTGAATTTGCATCAACTCTGCTGTGATCCACAAGCAGGAAGCAGAGAGCACTGGCTCCAAATGAAGCTCTGGTGACACACCTTGAGGAGGTCACACCTCCTAATTCTTCCCAAATAGTTATTCCAACCAGGGACCAAGTATCCAAATGTATGAGTCTAAGAAGGCTGCTTCCCGCAAACTACCATCCAGAGCCTTTACCAAAACAGATGTCGAGACAGAAGCTGGAAGAGGGAATCGTTTTATTCATGTGAAGGTTTGGGAAAGTGGAGTGATAGTTCCATCACAGAAGGAAAAATTCCCATTTTCCAAAGTGGAAATGTATCAAGGTGTTGGTAGGTGTGAGGGGTGAAAGATTCCAACACTGGGCAAAATTCTTTGTCTTCAAAACATGTTTTCTGACCTCTTGACCTGTAAGTCTGGAGGGCAAAAACTTGTTTTGAGAGCTTTAGGTGTCATCTCCTTTGTCTTTGGAAACACATTAATTTAAGAACTGTAAACAAGAACTGTTAAAGGAACCCTAACAGCTGCCTCCTGACAATCAGAAAGAATACAAACTGGTTTGAGATCAGGCACTGTCGGGCTCCAAGCACTCCGTAATTATAAAATAGTGGCTTCTAGTCTGTGCCTTGCCTTGGGTTATTTCATTTTACAAAGCAGAGTTTGACTCCATTTTAAGAGATACAGAGGCAGAATGACTACACTGTTCTATGCTTGTACATACCACCACCTTCCCTGCAGTACCCACAAGGCACAAATGCCTGAAGATAAGAAGGTGGCATATGAACACATCAATGTATTCAGAAAAATGATGAATTAATGAATACAACCAGATTAAGGAAAGGTGCTCCACAGTTCCCTGAATCACATAAAGAGGAGGACACTTATATCACAATGACAAGAGCTCCACTTGACCCATCAGCTGAACACCCACAGGATCAAGGAACCAGCAGGCAAGGAGCTCAGACTGCCACCCACTCAGTCTAGTTCTGTACCTTGCCTTTGCAGGTCTGCCTCCATCCTGGGACTTGACTCAAAACTACGCTGAGCTTGGTTTTGTGGTGGTGTCCCTAGCAGCAGGAGCTGATGCAGAGGCCATGGAGGGATGTTACTTACTGGCTTGCTTCCCCTGGCTTGCTCAACTTGCTTTGTTATAGAACCCAAGACTACCATTCCAGGGATGGCACCACCCACAATGGGCTGGGCCCTCTTCCCCTGATCACTAATTGAGAAAATGCCTTACAGCTGGATCTCATGGAGGCATTTTCTCAAGGGAGGCTCCTTTATCTGTGATAACTCCAGCTTGTGTCAAGCTGACACAAAACCAGCCAGTACAATATGGTATTAGGATTAGGACAGAAAATGTGTGCTTGTCAGTGGTCAACTATCAAGGGAAATCAGGACGACTTGGACACTTGCGGCCACCGCAACTGACCTAGTTTATGAGTTTATCCAATAAACTCTTAACAGTGTAGAAGAGCACGAATGTGACCATTAGTGTTTCTGACATAGTATGCGCATGACCACAGGATAGCTAAGTTAGACAAAAGGGATGAAGGTGGAGGCAGCAAGATTTTGATGAAGAGCTTCAAGAGAAGACTATTTCTTTCTGGCAAAACATTATTATTTTTGTGAAATCATTTTAAAGGCCTATTATTATTATTATTTTAAAGTTTTGTTTATTTTGTGTGTATGGGTGTCTTGCCTGTGTCTATGCCTGTGTCTATGCCTGTGCGCTACAGGCATGCTTGGTGCATAGGGATGCCAGAAGAGACAGTCAGATTCTTCAGGATCTGCGTTACATACAGCTGTGTGCATCCATGCAGGTACTAGGAATTTTACTTGGGTCCTTGACGGGAGAAGCCAGTGTTTCTAACCATAGAAGCATCTCTCCAAACCAGATTTTATTTTATTTTTAAAGAATTATATATTTATTTTATGTATATGAGTACACTGTAGCTATCTTCAGTCACACCAGAAGAGGGCATTAGATCCCATTACAGATGGTTGCGAGCCACTGTGTGGTTGCCATGAATTGAACTCATAACATCTGGAAGAGCAGTCAGTGTTCTTAACCACTGAGCCATCTCTCCAGCCCCTGTTTAAAATTTTTTTTTTTTAAATTTATGCTTATGTTAGTGTTGGTGTCTCCAGAGGCCAGAAGAGGATGCTGGATCTCCTGGAGCTAGAGTTACAGACAGCTGCAGGGGGGCAGACATGGGTGCTGGGAATCGAACCAAGGTCCTTTGCAAGAGCTCTTAAATACTGAGTCATCTCTCCAGCTCTGTAAAATCATTTTCATTCTTTCTTTAACTTTAAAAAATGCTGTTTCAAGCTGCGTATAGTAGTACTCAGCTTTAATTCCAGCACTCAGGAGGCAGAAGCAGGTAAATCTCTGAGAGTTTGAGGCAGCTTGCAGTCTATAGAGTAAGTTCTAGGACAGTCAAAGATATATATTAAGACTCACACAAAAAAAAATAAGCAAAAGACATACTATTGTCTTCTCCCATAATGGGCCCATCAATTACCTAGACAGGAACCTGTTCTGGGGACTTTAAGAAATATGGTAGCGCATGCCTTTGATCCCAGCACTCAGGAGGCAGAGGCAGGAACAATCTCTGTGAGTTTGAGGCCAGCCTGGTCTACAGACTGAGTTTCAGGATAGCCAAAGCTACACAGAAAAATCCTGTCTCGAAAAAAACAAATGCTCCACCATGATAACACATGTCTAGTCCCCAAAGCTTTTAGTTTTTATTATTATTATTATTACTATTATTATTATCATTGGGTTTTTTAAAAGATTTATTTATTTATTTATTTATTATATGTAAGTACACTGTCACTGTCTTCAGACACCCATATGAGGGCATCAGATCTCATTGCAGATGGTTGTGAGCCACCATGTCGTTTCTGGGATTTGAACTCATGACCTCTAGAAGAGCAGTCAGTGCTCTTAACCGCTGAGCCATCTCACCAGCACCATCATTGGTTTTTCAAGACACAGTTTCTCTGTGTAGCCAGGCTAGCTTCGAACTCAGAGATCAACCTGCCTCTGCCTCCTTACTGCTGGGATTAAAGACATGTGCGCACCCAGCCGATACCCAGTTCTGAAGATGTCTGTATTCCCCCTGAACACCCACACTCCAGTGTCATTCCCTTCCCCACATCCTGCCTTTCTGTGTTTATAACCCATGTGTGAATGAATTACGATTTGAGAAAAAATAAATTAAAAAAAAAGACATGTGCTACCACCACCAAGCGCATACACACACACACACACACACACACACACACACAAACACGGATTTATTTATTTATTTTATATATGTGAGTATACTGTCACAGTCAGATCCCATTACAGAGGTTGTGAGCCACCATGTGGTTGCTGGGAATTGAACTCAGGATCTCTAGGAACTCTAGGAAGAGCAGTCAGTGTTCTTAACCACTGAGCCATCTCTCCAGCCCCACTTACATTATTTTTAATTATTTTTTGGGGGAGTGTGCAGGTTTGGACAGAGTCTCTCTGTGTAGCCTTGGCTGTCCTGGAACTCACTCTGTAGGTTAGGCTTGCATTGAATCAGAACCTTTTCCCTCTGCCTCCCAACTTCTGGAACTAAAGGCATTCACCACACCTGGCTGAAAAAGTTATTTTATTTATTTATCTATTTATTTATTTATTTATTTATTTATTTAGAGACAGGGCTTCTCTGTATAGAACTGGCTGTCCTGGAACTCACTCTGTAGACCAGGCTGGCCTTGAACTCAGAAATCTGCCTGTCTCTGCCTCTGCCTCTGCCTCCCAATTGCTGGGACTAAAGGCGTGCGCCACCACTGCCCAGCTCAAAAAGTTATTTTTAATTTTAACATTTATTTTCTTGAGACTGGGTCTCACTATGTAGCTGTGGCTGGCCTTCAACTCACAAATTCTGAGTGCTGAGATTGTTGGTGTGCAGCAAGTATCAAGCCTAGCTTGTGTACACGTGCGTATGCATATGAGCATGTGTGCCACGGCCAGTGTGTGGAGGTCACAGGACACCTGTGGAGTTGCTGTTCTCCCCTCCCTTTAGCGTAGGTTCTGGAGGTGGAGATCTGGTCAGCAGGCTTGTGTAGCAAGTGCCAGCGTCTGTGACATCTCAGCAGCCTTCAAAGGTAGTTTTTGATAGATGTATATCTTAA